TGACTCTTAACTTTTATAAAGAATATCTCTTTGGATTTGAGACTTTAGTCTTTGCAACTTTACAGATCTTCTTTATGCACCAAGAGCTTGTAACACTCCAAAGAGAAAGGAAAAATTAAAATTGCATCATATGACCCCTTTAATGTGATCAAACGTTTAACGCAGTTGTGTGGACTGACTTATAGAATATCTACTTTTGAAATTTGATAGTAAATGTCAAAGACAAGCCAAACATAATATGCTTATATTATGTAATCCTCCTGGGACCCAGGCATAGACTTTTGTCTTCTGTAGAGGACATTATATTTTAATAAATTTCTCTGAGACAATACATGCCACAGTTTTTTTTTATTCAGAGCTTTTTAGAGATATCAAATGTTTGGAGGTTTGATCATAAACACTCCCTCTCCTTGTTCTTTAAATATGACTGATATTAACAGAATGATCAAATTTAGCACTCTTAGGAAAATATGATATTTTGTAATTATCATTTAAATCTGGCTAATTTTCAAACTGTTTGTCGTAAATAAACATCTCAGAAAAATGTTATGGAGTTTCAAATCGGAATATGACTTTTTTGATACGAAACAGGGCATCATTTTCATACATGTCTTCTGTAGAGGACACCAGGACAAACAGCATGTTAATCAGGCATTTTGGGGAGACGCAAGTCAGAATGAAATTATGGATCAATATTTCTATGAAATAGGAGATATTCTTATAAAAATGTTGGCAAGTTATTAATCCTATTAATACAGTTTTTTTTTCATTATGCCCCAAGAACACATTAATATGCCAATTAGATGCAATGTATAGATACACTGTATAGAATGGGAAAACAAATTTATGGACATTTCACGCACATATTCTATAAAGTACAGTAGTATATCAAATCATTCTGTTATATGTTTCAACATATTTGAGAATCATCTTTGCACAAAGTTAGGCTAAAAATAGCCTGAAACTTAAACATTGATTGGTGAATGAAAAAATAAAACATTGTTTTTGCCTATACATGCCTTTTCATGTCTATTATTTTTTTGTAATTGTAATTTTTAATGACACGCATTTTGCGAACGTTTATTGTGGGATGTGGGAGATATATTTGTTGTACTTTTAATTTGAAGTATTGTAGACTTTGTTTGGAATGGTTACACATCCGGGAATCCTCCGCTCTAACGTCTACCGGATGTGTCCAATTTAGCAGAGGGAATAAAAAAGACTTGAATCGTTAGATTGCTTTTATAATATGTATAAAGAAGATGCGTGGACTCACATTACTCAATGAAAAATTATAAACATTTGACAAGTCGTAAAGTTCGTTCAGTCGATATTTCACTAAATCACGTAATTTTCGCGCAGTTGGCCATCAGGCGCGGTGGCCAAGTGGTAAGGCGTCGGTCTCGTAAACCGAAGATCGCGGGTTCGAACCCCGTCCGTGCCTCGGACAATGAGGAAAAGACACTTTTGCAACGAATTAACAATTAATCTTGTTTTCCTATATTATTACAACACCAGTGCACGTTTCATTTCAGCAGTAGAAAATAGAAAGTTTGAATCTTGAATCCAGTTTATTTCCTGTGGTATGACCTGAACATTGTAGTCTATAGATGCCCTCTGTGTAAGTTTAAAAAAGAATACTATGATTAATGTACTAAAACATAAAAGTGTAAACACTTATAATAGAGAATTGTAAGTTATTAATTCTGAATGTTCCGTAATAAAAAACAAATACTCATAAATGGGATATTTTATTACTGTGTCATTGAGGAGAGCAAAATATTTAATCGGGAAGGTTTGACAAAACAATGCAAGAGTCGGAGTGTAAGAAGAATGTGTGTAAAATGTTGTACGCTTGTATCCACAAGACGACGCTGGCGCTCCAAATTACAACACATCTATTCAACGGACACAGTGCGCAGCTAATATAAGCCAGGGCAGTGAATTCAATTATACAACTCTAAAGGTTCGAATCATACAACACAACTGCTATTTTTCTGTGGGACTCGGTGTATATGTTTGCCATATTAAAAAAAATAATTGGATGTATGAAAAAAATGCGAACCCAACAATAAACTTTCTAGCTGTTTTGACCTGAACCAAAGGCTCAAAGGCAAAGTAGGTGAGTGTGACAGATTCATGAACGCATGTGCTACCTAGAATTCCATTTTGGGGAGGGCCCGAGAACTGCGCGAGATCTCCGCTCGCTGCTGCTGCTGCGGCTGTCGCGCGGCACATGACACGCGAGCGTGCGCTGCAGAATCCAGGTAAATGCGTTCAGAAGACGAAGACGGCGGTGACAGGCAGGACTGCGCTCCCGACGAGTCAGCTTGGTTACATTTTGGCGCATCCAAGAGAAGAAAAAACGCTCATGTCTTGTCCGAAGAATCTTATATGCGGGCTTTAGTGAAGATTACGTCTTTATTCCATTCATGTGACAGTAATCGGAACCAGAATTGGACCGTAAGATCGACTAACTTTTCTACAACTGTCAATGCGTACAATCCAAACAGTGGACTCAATTCAAAACAAGCTGAGTTGATACAGTGCTCAAACAATGGAAGCCAAGCAGAGGTAAATTAATCTGTTGTTGCTAATTGTTGACAAGAAAATACATCAATATGTGCTCCTGCTGAATTATTTAGATGGTTTTTAGTTTTTCTTTATATATATATATATATTTTATTATTTGCCTTAATGCATGATGCTAATATGAATTATAGTTCTATGTAGAAATGAAACAGGCCAGGTGAAGTATATTAAAATACTATCTAGTGAAATTGAGTATTTTATGGTTATTCATTGTAAAATAAACACAACAGTGAATGTATAATAACACATTTTGTGTATTTGGGGTTAAAGACATTAATGTGTTAGAGGTTGGGTCTTTGCGGGCAAGGTGAGTAGTTAAATTTACTCTCAACTGGCCTACAAAGTCCCAGTTTCTGGCTCATATAATCATCCTCACTTATTTCTGTCTGAATGAGTATATTATAATGAAACAAAAATATTTAGATGTTCTGTGGGTGGGAAACATTAAAATGGGAAGGAACTATAAGGTCTAGCCTAAATTGCTTATAAGTACTAATTGCAATTCAATAATTTACGTAAATTCATAAAAGAGTTATCCAAATTATCCAAAATAGTTTGCTCACGGTGTTCTGTCGAGGATTCGCTATACAATATCCCACTGCTGGACGTTTAGAAAAAAAAAAGTCTTATTTTTGACTGAGCACATTGTTATCTGTTCTAGTGTGGTTTGTTTAACTTGCACACTTAGGCC